TTTCTTTGGTAACATTTCCTGACTCCAAGAACCCATAGGGACATCTCCTTACTCAAAGTCCAAAATTTTCTGGTCTGCACCTCTCCTTGAGTATTTTAATTCTATACGATGCAGCACCTTTCACCTTACTATTTTGAATTATCATTTTCATGTGCACATATCATCTCTTTCCAAGTACACTGCAACCTTTTTGAAGGCAGAAATACATTATCATCTCTTTTTGTAGACATCATGGAGTCTATTAAATGACACTTACATAGTGAAGGAACAGTATTCTCATTAATTCTTTTATTCATTCATCTATTCAACTAGTACTTTTGTGCATCTACTCCATGCTGGGCGTATGTCCCCTGTCCTCACAAAGTGTTCAAACCAGTTGGAGAAACCCTGGTATTGAATGTGTAAGAACTAGATTTGAGTCAGAAGACTTTGGTGTGAATACTAACTTTGCCACTTACTAGTTGTGTGGTCATCTCTGTGACTTCATCTGGAAAATGGGGGTGATAATGCTTACTCTGTCTACCTCTCATAATAAAGATCAAACCGTATTGTATTTTATGTGCAAATTTTTCTAAAGGACAGGATACGGTAGTTTTAATTTGTCCACAAATTCTTTGATACTCTTCCCTTCAAGAAGTGGAGCCGAATTCTCCTCTTCTGGAGTCTGAGCTGGACTTAGTGACTCGCTTCTAACAGGTGCAATAAAGCAAAATGATGTGCAATAAAACAGCAGTGTGACTTTTGTCTTGGTTACTCTATTTCTTGAATTACTTGGTCTGAGGGAGGGCAGCTGTCATGATGTGAGAAGCCTTATGGAGAGACTCATATGGTGAGGAACTAGGGCCTCCTGACAACATGCTCAAACTTGGAAGCAGAACCCTCAGCCCCAGTCAAGCCTTCAGATAACTGAAGCCCCAACCAGCCCCACTTGACTATAACCTCATGAAAAGACCTGAGCCATACCACCCAGCTCAGCTGCTCCTGACTTTCTGACCCCAAAATCATGTAAGACAATATATGTTTTAAAAGTCGCTAATTTGGGGGATAATATGTAGAGTAGTAAAGAGATTTAAGGTATTATTTTTGACTATTCTAATATTTGTTGAATGAAGAATAACATAATCTACTAGAGTTTACTGCTGAATGATGAGTTAGAAGTGGAAGGAAAAGCAGCTTCCAATAAAAATTGCAAAACATTAAAAACTAGGAAAAATCAGATGGATGTAAAATTTCTGATGGGTGATTTGCAGACACTTTTCACCCTGCCACATGCTTCATTTTCTGAGAGGTATCAACCTGTGACAGTGACTGCAGGCTACATGCCAAAAGGCTACAACCTGAAAGAACTGTTCATTTCTCCTGACTGCTTTTGTTTTATTTCATTTTTGGTTCTCATTCTGAGCTAAAATTGATAGTTTTAATTAAATAAGAAATGAAAACTATACTTCTCCTCTACATAGAATATACTTTATTTTTATACTAAAACCATGGTTCTTTGTTAAACACAAAGGCTATAGACATGGGATTTATGATTTGTTTGCATCATTGCGACCTTCTGAAAGTCACTGCTATCCCTTTGCCATAATAACACTGACCCAGCCTGGCCTCCATTATTAATAATGCCACTGGGAGGCTGAATTCATAGTCCTCACCAGTCAACTTTGTCAAAATTAATTTGAACCAGAACAAATTTAAATTTAAAACTATCTAACTACATCTGGTCCACAGGATGCCCATTTATAACCAATTTCTTAAACACCCCACTGAGAACACAGTTGTGGAGGAAGACTGTCAATTTATTAACCTATTTAATAATAAATACAGAATTTAAATTTCTCACTGCATATTTATTGACCCTAATTTTGCTAGGGTTTCAAGTGAAGGGCTTTGGAAGCTATGTTAACTCTTTAAAGCCATAAGAATAGTACTTAATATATTTGCCTAAAATGTTATAGATAATAAAAGAACATGAATCATACAAATTTACTGAAAATGTTTTCTTTATTAATCTGCTTGGTTAAAGGATTAATAGCTCATAGAAAATAAAACAGTGTAGTCACTAGTTGAAGATGACATGCTACTATATATAGAAAATCCTAAAGCCTCCACCAAAAAACCACTAGAAGTAATAAATGAATTCAACATAGTTGCAGGATACTTAATTAATACCCAGAAATCAGTAGCTTTTCTATATACTAATAAAGAAGTCTCAGAAAGAGAAATTAAGAAACAATTCCATTTATAGTTGTACCAAAAAAACAAAAACAAAAACATAAAAACCCTAAGAATAAACTTAACCAAAAAGGTGAAAGACCTATATTCTGAAAACTATAAAATACTGATGAAACGAACTGAAGATGACACAAATAAATAGAAAGGATTCCATGCTCATTGAATGGAAGAATTAATATTGTTAAAATATCCACACTACCCAATGCAATTTACAGATTCAGTGCAATCCCTATCAAAATACCAACATCGTTTTTCACAGAACTAAAACAAATAATACTAAAATTTGCACACAATCACAAAAGACCCTGAAATAGCCAAAACAATCTTAAGAACAAAGCTGGAAGTATCACAATTCCATTTTTCAAGATATACTACAAAGCTATAGTTAATCAAAAGAGTATGATACTGGCACAAAAACAGACACATGGATTGTGGAACGGAATAGAAAGCTCAGAAATAAACCCATGCTTATATGGTCAATTAATCTATGACAAAGAAGGCAAGAATATACAATGGAAAAAAAAAAATCTCTTCAACAAATAGTGCTGGGAAAACTGGAGAGCTACATGTGAAAGAATGAAACTGAACCATTTTCAAACACAAAAATAAACTGAAAATGAATTATTGAAGATCTAAATGTGAGACCTAAAACCATAAAAATCCTAGAAGAGAACACAGTCAGTAATTTCTCTGATATTGGCTGTAGCAACATTTTTCTAGGTATGTTTCCTAAGGTAAGGGAAACAAAAGCAAAAGTAAACTATTGGGACTACGTAAAAATAAAAAGCTTTTGAACAACAAAGGAAACCATCAATAAAACAAAAAGTAAACCTACTGAATGGGAGAAGATATATGCAAATGATATATCCAATAAGAGGTTAATATCCAGAATATTTAAATAACTTATAAAACTCAACACCCAAAAAATAAAAATGGGCAGAAGACATGAATAGACATTTCTCCAAAGAAGGCATCTAGGTGGCTAATAGATGCATGAAAAGATGTTCAACATCTCATCATTAGGGAAATGCAAATCAAAACTACAATGAGATATCACCTTACACCTATCAGAATGGCTAAAATCAAAAACAAGAAACAATAAATGTTGGCAAGGATGTGGAGAAAAAGGAACCCTCATGTACTGTTGGTGGGAATGCAACTGGTGCAGCCGCCATGGAAAACAGTATGGAGGTTCCTCAAAAAATTAAAAATAGAACCACCCTATGATCCAATAATCGTGCTACTGGGTATTTACGAAAAAACCCACAAAAACACTAATTTAAAGGGACATGTTGGCAGCATTACTTACAATAGTCAAACTATGGAAGCAGCCGAAGTGTCTTTTTATCCAGATGAATGGATAAAGAAGATATGATATATATAATGGAATGTTATTCAACCATAACAAAGAATGAAATCTTGCCATTTGCAGCAACATGGACAGAGCTTGGGAGTATAATGCTGAGCAAAGTAAGTCAGTCAGAGAAAGACAAATACCGTATGATCTCATTCATGTGGAATTTAAGAAACAAAACATGAGCAGAGGGAAAAAGAGAGAGAGAGATAAATAAAGAAACGGACTCTTAACTATAGAGAACAAATGATGGTTACCAGAGGGGAGGGTGTGGGGGGATGAGTGAAATAGGTGATGGGGATTAAGGAGTACACTTGTCATGATGAGCAGCAGATGATGTATGGAATTGTTGAATGACCATACTGTACACCTGAAATTAATATAACACTGTATGTTAACTAATTGGAATTAAAATAAAAACATAAAAAATAAAATAAAATAAAATAAAGAACTTATACAACTCAACACCAAAAAAACAAACAATCCAATTTAAAAAAATGGGTAGAGAACTTGAACAGACATTTTTTCTATAGAAGACATACAGGGAAATGCAAATCAAAGCCACAGTGAGATATCACCTTACCCCTGTCACAATGGCAAAATCAGAAAGACAAGAAATAACAAGTGCTGGAGAAGATGTGGAGAAAAAAGAACGTCTGTGCATTGACAGTGAGAATGTTAATTGGTACAGCCACTGTGAAAAAATAGTACGAAGAAAAAAATAAAAAGTGAAATACCATATAATCCAATAATTTCACCACTGGGTATTTACCCAAAGAAAATGAAAACATGAATTTGAAAAGAGATATGATAGGTACCCCTATGTTTATTGCAGCGTTATTTACAATAGCCAAGATATGGAAGCCACCCAAGGGTCTATCAATAGATGAGTGGATAAGGAAGATGGAATTTTATGCATCCTTAAAAAAAGGATGAAACTGTGCTATTTGCAACAACATGGATGGACCTTGAAGGTATTATGCTACATGAAATGAGTCAGACAGGGAAAGACAAATACCATACGATTTCACTTATATGTGGACTCTAAAAACAAACACAAATAAACAAACAAGCTGAATCAGACCTATAAATACAGAGAACAAACTGATGGTTGCGAGAGGCGATGGGGGTGGGGAATGGGCAAAACTGGTGAAGGGGAGTAGGGGATACAGGTTTCTAGTTATGGAGGGAGTAGGTCATGGGACGAAAGGCACAGCATAGGGAATACAGTCAGTGGTATTTTAACAGTGTTGTATGGTGACAGACAGTGGCTACAAGTGTGCTGAGCACAGCAAAACACAGACAGTAGCTGAAGCACTATGTTGTACACCTGACACTAATGTAATATTGTGTGTCAACTATACTAAAAAAAATAATTAAAAAAAAGAAAGTAAGACTGTGAAAACATTCTTACTTTTAGGAGATATGCTGTTGACTGGAGAAGGTCGGGTGCCAAGGGTCGATGTGACAACATCAAGCGGAGGACTTGCTGAAGGGTTCACTGAGCCTGAAAAGATGAAATGGATAATAATGATGAACAAAATATCATAATAGAAAGATGATGTGTTGACTTAATATCCCCCACAACTTTATCCATTCCTCTCAGAAATCGTTATCGAAGGTCTGTTAATGCAAGGCCGTGGGATATGGTGGTGGAAGACATCAGGCTGTCTTTAAGGACCAGACCTTAGGTAATAGGCAGGGAGCCAGGCATTGTGTTGAGTGTAGGGTACCACGGGGATGCAAAGAAAGGGCACCAGCCATGATTGGGAGGTCAGGGGAAGCTTCCTGGAGAAAATAACATTTAACCAAGCCCTGGTAAAACAATTATAGCAGCTAATATTTCAAAGTATTTGGAAAGTAATCATACAATTTACAAATCCGCAAGCCTGCTAAATTTTATTGGCAAGAGTAGAAACGATGATGTAACTATCCAACTGGAAGCAACATCAATGAGCTGAAGATTAATGGTATTATTACTGCCTTTTCTAAAATGCTTGTTTTTGTCAGAAAATTTTTATCTGGCTATAACTTTTCTTTCTGTGTGTGTGTGGGCAGGTAGGGATGAAAGAGAGGCTATTGTTTTATCATATTATACATTTATGTCAGTTCCTTAAAGCTCCCATTACTGAACTGTAAAATAGCCCTATTAGCAGTATCAGACAATTTACAAGTGCCCGAAGGATCTATTGACTTTAGGAAGGCCTGGGTTAAATATTGTTAAATGATTCGGAGGCTAGGGAATTTTGTGATTTTCTAGATATAATGACATTTGGTATAGTGTCACACATCTGATGAGCTGTGTCAATTATTTGGACATTTAATTGTAAATTATACTATTGGCTCTATTCTATAATTTATTTTAAGAGAAAAGTATATATTATATAAATTATGTCACCTGATAGCACATAGCACATTGGAAGGGATTTGTGTTTTGTAATCGAGATGTATCTATGTTTTATTTTCAGTGTTGGTAGTGTTGTTATTGCTCTTGGCTGTAGGTGATGCTTACAGCTGGCTCTGACTTGTTATATAAACGATCCCTTGCTATTAAGCTCTGAGGAAGTAGGTGTGGGGTAGGGAGAAAGGTACCTGGAGAGTATACAAATAGGTTGGTGGAATGACCATCCTCTTCCACCCATACCATCTGAAACATGTTTGAACACTTCAGCATGACATTCAAATCTGATCATTATTTTCCTCCCCCCATTACACTTCCCACTTCATTTCCTGATGCTGCCTATCATCTTTTACATCTCAAATCATACCCTCAATCTAACGGGTGATATTTCAACCCGATCTCCATGGATTCTTGCTTTGTGTGCATGCTGTTTCCTTATACTTTCCCACTGCAAACTGCCTGGTATGCACCTTCTCAAACTTGAATCCCAGGGATCTTTGTGATGTGCTCATAGCCTTAATGTTTAACTTAGCAAAGGCCTTAGTACTCTACATCATCAGTATACCCTTCAAGAGAAGTGATTGTGTTGCTCCTCACTGTATTTCTGGTTCCTGGCAAATGCAAATGGACGAATGAATGCATATGGATTCCTTCTAAACACTGAAAGGGAGAACACCAACTTTAAGTACATATCTGACGGCTGGTGCATAATAAGCATCATCTTCCAAAGTAGCAACCTTAATAAGCATGGACCTGGAAAAATAATGCCTAGGTGTTTTTCTCTGTAGATTGATTGGAACAAAGGGTGGCAAACTATGGCCCCCAAGTCAAATTCCACCCACTGCCTTGTTTGTAAATAAAGTTTTACTGGAACACAGCCATGTCCATTTGTTTATGTATGTCTATGGCTGTTTTTGTATTACAATGGCAGAGCTGAGTAACTGTGATAGAGACCATATGGCCACAAAGCATACAATATTTACTATCTGGCAGATAAAAACAGAAAATGTTTGCTGACTCCTGGAAAAGAAGATGTTGATAGGTTATTCTTAATCCTAGATTTTGACAATGGGAAACATTTATTTTTCATTTATTGAATATTTCTATTTTAAGATACTATTCTGCCATATTTAACACCACACAGCTTTGTAATCTGAGGGGTTCTTGGCATACATATCCTTACAGTGTATTAGGAAGTTGCTACTGCAAGATTTGTATTTTAAGATGAACTCTTTGCCCTGTAACAAAAATGATGCATAGCTTTCAACATGAAACCTGCAGCCAAAAAAAAAAAAAAAAAAAAAAAGGTCCCTCTGGTTTCAGATTGTCCCGTAAAGTAGAAATTCTGCCTTGGTCAAAACAAAACTCAGGGGTGTAGAAAGAAGTGGCTAAAACCTCACAGAAAAACACTATTTCCCAAAACTCAAAAGCAGAATTTAGCAGAAACATATGAGCCAGTTTTTAGGCCATTACATTTGCCATTGTGTTGTAAGGGATTAAGCTGCTGGCCTAAGGCAACTTCATGGGCTCCTGAGTGTGTCCCCTCTGCAGCAGGCCTGGCAGGACACTCAGGACCACCCTCATGGGCAGCAGTGGCCAGGTGTCTGTCTGTCCCACAGGGCAGCTGGTCAGTTCTAGGGCTTCCTCAGAGCTCGAATCAGCCCTTAGCTGGTCCACCTAGAAATGAACCAAACTCCAGGCCTTGTTAGATCCTTGCTTCTCAAAATGTGGCCTGTGGCTTCTCTTAGGAACTTGTTAGAAATGTAGACTCTCAGGCCCTGCTCCTCCACCTCAACTTAGTGAATCAGAATCTGCTTTTTAACAAGATCCTTGGGTGATTTCTATGTATATTAAAGTCCTTAACTGATCAGTCCTTAACTGATAAAGTCCTTAGGATACCTAGGATCAGTCAGGGTTTGAGAAAAATCATGAAATAGGAAGTATTTGTCTGGCATATTCTTCCTCAATATTCAAGTGGTTCTCTTGCCCCACTACTGAGATATCCCTTTTTAATCCTTTCTCCATATCCCAAAATATACATGCACACTCAAACACATATGACTCATTAACCCCTAACTCTCTCTCTATCCCAAATGGAAATCCATTTAATGATGAATAATAGCTGAAGATGGCAAGGACATTACTTACCCCAGGGGGTATTTGCATTCAACTTTTGTTTTAATATTTAAAAAAAAAATCCCCTCCACCTCAAAACAAAACAAAACAAAACAACTCTTTGTATATGCCAAAAAAATTGACCATACAGTGCTATAATTTTAGACATTCTGATAAGCTAGGCCAGCAGTGAAGCTACTTTGGCCCCTCCTGCTAACCTAGTAGTCTTTAAACTTTAGCAAATGCCTTTAGGCTATGTGATTGATTAACTTTCCTTTGAATATCTAGTTCTTTCATTGTTTCCTAGGAAGAACAGAGCACTCCTATACCTCCTGAAACAGGAAGCAGACCCCCTTGCACAGCCCCCCAGCACTGAGATCACTGAGACAACCTCTCTAGCTGGGACCACCAAGTCTGCGCATCATCAAGAAATGTTACAGACTACTGCACTCCCTTACCAACTAACTGCCCTGAACCCCTTTAAAAATCCCTGGGCCAGGCAGAAACCTTGGAGTTGGCTTTTGGACAAGAGTCTGCCTTCTCCCCAGTTGGCCAGCCTGCTGAATAAAGCTCATATTCCTTTCCAGTCAAAACTCCTCTTCTGAGTATTGGCCTATTGAGCGAGGGGCAGCCAAACATGCGGTTTGGTAACAGCAGGGTAGGATATTTTGGAAAGAACTTTTAAAAAATATATTTATTGTTGAATCACAGGAATCTGTAGGCTCTGGTTACTCAAACAGCTGTCTGATGAGCCACTGATCACCCTATACTGACCCCTCTCCTTTTCTGAGTTTACTAGAATAAGAATCACTGAGCATTTGAACTTCCTGGGAGACTGTGAGGTAGGTGGGGAAGGAAGCATCTCGGAGGACTGTTAGCTTGCAGGCTTCCAACTCTTCTCTGGGAACAAAGGGGAGCAAAAGCTCCACTCCTCTTACTAAATCTCCTTTTTGCTCTGTAATATTCTCAGAATTTCTCTACTTTAGATTTTTCTTCTGTATTTTCATCTCAATATCTGTCAACAATAATGGCTTGATAAAGCAATAACTCTTGCACAAGGCATCAGAAGTTTTCCCAGAGTTCATAAAGCACCCAGCAGTACTACCACAAGCAGAAAGAATGTTTGGAAGTAAGTGTTTAAGAACTTACAACAAGTAAGGGAGTATGATCCAGTGATGACATTGCTTTCCAGAGTCTCAACTGCATCTTCTAAGTCATTCCCAAAGATACATGCTAGAATGTGACTAGAATGTAACCTATAATTTTGGGAAACTGAACTCTTCAAGATTTATTGGCTTTAATATTTGATCACAAAGGATAAAAATTCAATTGACAATTTAAAAATAACCATCTGCTCAGAACCTAAAATTATATCAGATCAAGGGCTGTCCTGTAAATTGGAATTATGGTGTGCTTTGGGTATCAGGATCAGTGCCCTTCCTTATTATCCTAAAATTATTCATTATTTTCTGATCTTAAAACTTAGCATAGTTCAAGAGAATAAGAAGACAAGCCACAGACTGGGAGGAAAATATTTGCAAAAGACTCAACTGGTAAAGGACTATTTTTCGAAATATACAAAGAACTCTTAAAACTCAACAGTAAGATAACAACCAGCCTGATTAAAAAATGGGCCAAAGATTTTAACAGACACCTCACTAAAGAAGATAAATTGATGGCAAATAAGCATATGAAAAGATGATTCACATAATATGTCATCGACCAATGCAAATTCAAACAAAAAGAGATACCACTACACAGCTACTAGAATGGCCAAAATCCATAACACTGATAATACGAAATGCTGGTGAGGATGTGGAGCAACAGGAACTCTCATGCACTGCTGACAGGAATGCAAAAATGGTGCAGTCACTTTGGAAGACAGTTGGGAGGCTTCTTACAAAACTAAACATACTCTTACCTACAGTCCAGCAATTGTGCTCCTTTGTATTCATTCAAAGGAGTTGAAAACTCATGCCCACACAAAAACCTCCACGGGGATGTTCACAGCAGCTTTATTCATAATTGCCCAAACTTGGAGGCAACCGAAATATATTTCAGTAGGTGAACAGATATATAAACTGGTACATGCATAAAATGGAATATTATTCAGTACTATAAAAAATAGGCTATCAAGCCATAAAACAACATGGAGGAAACCTAAACGCATATCAGGAAGTGAAAGAAGCCAATCTGGGAAGGCTACATACCGTATGATTCCAACTATATGACATTCGGAAAAGGCAAAACTCTAAAGACTAAAAAAATCAGTGGTTGCCAGGGGTTGGGGTTGGGGGGTAAAGGATGGATAGGTGGAGCACAAAGGATTTTTAGGGCAGTGAAAATTTAAGGCGGTTTGAAGCCACTGATGGGTACATGTCAATATACATTTGTCCAAATCCATAGAATATACAATACCAAGTGTTGAATCATAAGGCAAATTGTGGACTTTGGGTGATTATGATGTGTCAGTGTAGGTTCATCAGTTGTAACAAATGAACCATTCCAGTGCGTGAAGCTGATAGTGAGGGAGAATATTCATGTGTATGAGAGGGTGTATAGGAAATCTCTGCACCTTCCTCTTTTGCCGTCAACCTAAAACTGCTCTAAAAATAAATAAATAAAATCTTTAAACCAAGAAAAGCTCAGTTTTAACATCAGAAAAGATTGGAATTTCAAACATGGTTCTGTGATGGGATTTAGGAATTTAAGGTTGTTTTGTTTTCAGCTCACGTCCTTAGAGTCTGCCAAAGTTACTGGCAAACTATGTGAGAACCAGTTACCTTTACCCTGTTCCAAGCCTGTAGCCCTTAACTGTGTCCAGCCTTCTAGAAAGGAAGTGCATTTATTTCTGAGGGAACTAGACAGAATTGAATATGGATGTTCCAGTGTAAAGCCATGACCATTTCTGAGTGATTAACTCAGAGTTCTCAGTGTTTGTGTGTGTATGGATATACACACACACAGGCAGTATTATAGGCATGATGCCACTGTCCCAGATTCAGAATGGCACCACCTTCTGAATAGTGGGGATGGATTTGCATTGAGCCACATATCCTTCCCATCCAAGGTTCCCAGGAACCAACTGCCTGCATTTGTGAAAGGGCTGGGTAGGACCCAACATGCACGACAGTGGCCTTTGAAACAAAGGGAAACTTTCCCTTATAAGCTATCCTGGGTTTTATGAGTATGTCACAGACTACAGAATCTCTGAAAATAGGAAGGCGGTAAAAGACGTTAATGGTCCTGCAGAGTTGTAATAATGGCTAACAAATCTGCTCAAGTATTACTTTGCTGTTAGATATGCATGTTTGATAGTTGTCATTACAAACTTCTATTTTTTATAGGCAATCTGTTGTCGCTGTATTTGTTGAGACATTTGTTCACATCTTTTATGCAGTAAAATCTCTATTATTTGGTCAGGTTTAGAGTAGTGAATATTCTGGTTAATCAAATATTGTGATAAGTAGAATGATCCTGCATATCAATTTTCAAGTCATAAAAGTCTTCAATGTGCCAAATTCTGCGCTTCAACCTAGGGGCATGAAAATCATTAGGATATAGTCCTTATCCTCAAGCTATTTATATCTCATACATGGCTTGTCCATTCCTAAGTATTACAATTATAAATGCTATATATAATTGAAGGTTTTTTGTGACTCAGAAGGGATTTTAGGATTTTAAGAACCTCTCTTGATCATCAATATATTAGTGTTAATTTTCATTATATGGTAATTAACAAAAAGTTATTAAATGAAATTTGAAAAAAAAATTGCCATATTCACCAGAAATTCTTAGAAACAGGAATCAGCTACTTTTTGTTTGAAGAAATTCTTTTAAGCAGAGTCCCACTGTTTTGTCAAAAAAGTTTTGATAGTATGAAATTTAATAATTTTGAGTTGTGTAAAGAGTTTTCCAAGATTAAAATACCATGGAAATAATGAGTGGTTCTATTTGTTCTAATTAGAAGTGTTTTGAGCTTATGGCAGTCTTGGCCACCCCTGATTGATCTTATTAAATAGACAACTCACCCAAGGAAAAAGTGATCTTTTCAGATGAGATGTTCCACACTTTATTTCCGGGGACTGGAGATAGGGCCATACACCAGATGGTCAGGTTATTTGATTGGGCTGGTTTATTACCATACACCCTTGTCAAAACAGACTTCAGCTCCAAAAATCCACCTTTGATTTTTCTCTCTTCATTAGTAATGTATATTCCTACAGGACAGATTCAGAATAAGATCAGTCACCAGCGATTTCTCTATGAGCCATAAAATGATGTCAAGGCATGGCTGGGGATGGTTCAGTTTACAGTAACAGAGTCTAAAATGGTCAAACCACAGCTTCTGCACACTGAGGGTTTATTCCAGCAGGCCTAAACTGTTAACCAAAACTGTTTTGCTCAAGCTCCTGCATGGTATTGATCAATGGTCAAGGTACAAAATGTATTGATTAATAGTATTGTTTTATTTGTGATCATGGGTCTGAGCGGGTTGGGGGCCGGTTGTCCTCATTCACCAGCATTGTTTATTGATAACAGTGAGACTGATGATTTGCACCTAACCTGGGCTAGAACCTGGTAAGGCTCTGCTGTCGAGTCTGGCTACACAGCAGGAATATGTCTAAGTAAAATATAAAACAACCTCAACCAAGACTCCATTTTGGGCTCCCCACTTCGGAGGTGTTCTGTGCCATGTTGGTCGTCTCCCCGCCCTTTACAGAGAGCCCCCTGCCTGATTTCCCTGGCCCCCTTGCTGTAAATCTATACATGAGATGTATATCCTTACTTTAATGGTGTTGTTATATTGTATCTTTTTCCTGAAATAAGCTGGAGATTTATAACCGTTGTCATTTTGGGTCCTGTGAGTCTCCTTTAGAAATAGAAACTGTTTAACTGCCCCTGTTGGTCCAATCTCCAAATAGCATACATGGTAGCAGGAAATTAATGTAAAACCATCTGTCACTGTAGGCCTGAACTTTCTGAAATCTCATAGCTTTTTTACACTACAGGCTCTAAATGCTAATTTTGCAGTTGTTACTTGCCAAAGTAATAACTAAATGCAGTTGTACCACACTGTCTGGCCTCATGGTTGGGAGGGTAACCAGCACATCAAACCAGGGCTTACTTAACAGGAGAACATATCTATAATGACCTTTAAGAGATATTTTCAGGATTGCATCAATCATTATTATGGGTGAATTGTTTTCTCAGTGAATAACAAAACCAGTAAGTCTCAAAATGAATCAAGTGGATCGATACAATCGTTCATCAACATGAACTTTTTATTTTATCAGTTAAAAATAATAATGTAGTAAGGGCTATGGGACTCAGTTACTGTTGAAAACATATTGAGCTTTGAGAAAAAAAATGACTCAAGAGAAAGGAGAAGGGCTGTTGTCCTGGGCAGGGAATGTCTGGGATTGTTCTGGCAGGTGCTGCCCGTTTACTACCTATGAAAAATACGGCTTTGTATGTTCTCACCTGAGCTTGCCTCAATGTGCGTTCCTGCTCCAAGAATTTTCAATCCTCCTGGAGGAGTTCCTTGTCATAAAGCCCAGTCCTTTATGTATACTTCCTCTAGCCTTCCCCACCCCACCCTACTCAGAGCCTTACAAGAACAAGTCGAAAGTATTTGGTTCTTGACTTAAAGCAGTGGTGCTAAGTTATTTGAACTAAATGAAATTATTAATAAATGTATGTTGAGTTAAACTTTTTTGCCATCATATAAAAGATCTGCTTTTACTAACAGTTGAATAAAACATTAGTATTTATAAGCGAGTTAAAGAAGTCAGGTGTGGGGCGCCTGGGTAGCTCAGTTGGTTAAACATCTGACTCTTGGTTTTGGCTCAGGTCATGATCTCAGTGTCCTGGGATCAAGCAGGGAATCTGCTTCCCCTCTTCCTTCCCCTCTATTCCTCCCCCTGCTCGCACATACTCTCTCTCTGTCTCTCTAAAATAAATGAACCTAAAAAAAAAAAAAAAGTCAGGTGTATTTCTTAATTCTGGGAAATGTGACCCACACTGATCCTCTTGGAGGCACTAGATGCGGTATCAGAAAATGCCATCTGGTAGGCAAGATGATGTTTGTTTTGGAATTAGAACTGTCCTTAAATGCCAAGATCAACTTGGGTAATGGCAATTTTTATTCTTCCTTGTTTTCTTTCTTTCTTTGCCAAACCCATTTCCACTGACTGATTTCCTTACCTTCTTTTTCACCTTGAGGAAAGCCTCCTTCTATAAACCACGTGAGATTTGCTGTGGGAAATACATTCCTCTGGGAGCAGGTAAATGTTCTCTGGGGGTGAAGGCAGAACATAGAAAGGCTTATTTGCAAATTCAGAAGAAACTGGTACCCCTTACATCCCCACCAATTGTCACATGAGGCAAATTGGCAGGAAACAATTTTCTCCACTTTCAACAAAGCTGTGTTTACCTTTCAGAGGTTATGTGAAAATGTGAGCTACAAATAGGCTGTCTCCTACAGAGATGTCATGATTTCATGGCTGGAATCACAGGTTAACCTATGAAGAATCTAGGACTAGACTAATGTTGCAAGTCTGGATTCTGGGTTCTGGAGAAGGGAGATCACAACTCTATATAGGAAGAATAAAATAATACTAAATGGAAGCCAAAGACTAGAAAGATGGAAGAAGCTCTAACAGTCAGAGGCCAGAAAAGAATATTCTGTTATACTAAAAGCTAAAAGATATATGCATTTTGGTTGTTTCCACTTCCAAAATAATGTAAAGTACTATTTATAGCAACAACCACAGAAACCATTATTGTAAATATCTCACTTTTGACTTGTAGAGAATTTATGTAATTGATTTTTCATTTTATCATCTTAAAAATCCCATAGGGCAGATAGGACATGCTTTATCATTGCCATTTGACAGATGGGGAAACCAAGGCACCAAATCACAAGGGTGGTTAAAGGGAGTGGAATGTAGTCGATGGCACAATTGGGAACTCTTACGCCAGTCCCAGTCCAAGGTATTTCCTAGTAAAACACATTGTACTGAAACATGAAAGAGACAGAACAGGTAGCTTATGTTACAAAGCCAGAAAGCTTAGAGGTAGGGTCAGTTATGTTTTATTTCCAACACCATATTTGCTCTTTTTGAGATGATCGTTTATTTCAACAGCCTGGTGAAAATATCCTTATTGGTTCCTCATCATTTTATCTGAGACACTGCAAAATTATAATCCCATTCATAGTTATCTGTTTTCTCATCAAGAGATATATGTATTTTACATATAACCAGCCCTGGTTCTTAGTTCTCAAATATTTTCCACAATGGATGGATTCACTAGTTAACTAGTAAAGAACAATGAACTATATGTAATACTTGGTGTGCCAATTTCCCCACAGACTAGTTATACCCAAAGAGTTTGGTCCTGAGCAGAGTTGAGAAACCACATTTAAGGATGCTGAAGTAGCATCTTTCTGGTGAGGTCTTAGTGAGGTGCAGTTTAGCACCCTCCCATACATCCCTACAAAAAGCCCAAGGAAATCATGAGACTTTCGGAGGGGACTATCTGTGGAATCCAAAATGGTAGGTAGTGAACACTGCAGCTGCCAGGTTTTCCACTCATTCCACACTTGACAATGGGGACACATGCATGCATCAGCAATGCAGATCCATGACATTATGTCACTTTTTGTCCTGGAAAATCAAAAGTAAAACCAGGTCCCCTAAAATATATTCTTATTTAGTAAAGAAAAGAGAGTTCAATTTATTTAATCCAATAAAATGCCAAAGATTGATGTTTATCTTCAGGTGGTCCAGGAAGGGATGTAAGAGTTACAGGAAATGAAATGTTAAAAAAAAAAAAGTGGTAAAGGTTTTTATTAATGCCAATACCTTTAACCACTCCCATGACTCATTTTCTCCATGCTCGGTTAACCCACCATAAGATGATGATATGGTAATATCAGGAATAAGTAGGGGTTCCATTATTTTATAAAGGCAACATGCTTACTGAAGAAATCTCTTGTCAACTAAAAAAAATATTAAAAAGCTTTAACTCTGTGGATTCTCTGAATTCAGATTTTATGGAGTGAGTCAGATTTCAAATACTCTCTACCACCTCCAGACTGTGTTCTAAGATTTTTGTGTCAGAATGTGGTTCTCGTCCTGAACTCCTCCCTCCCAGTCTCTCTAAAATTGAAAAGCCACAGACTTAACTAGTTCAAACTGAAGTCAAACCTCTTATGAAACATCAAGTTTATAGGGTTTTGCTGAGCAAGCAGAGCTACTGCTGTTCGGGAACTTCCAAATGAGTAAGAAGAAAAACATCTTAAATTAAAAAAATATATATATGAAGTAAATATGGACAAGAGTCTGTGTGTACACACCCACGAGTGTACACACACACATCCCTCTGTTGCGAAGTCAAAATCACTCACTCACTTAATGTGTGGCTGCTGCATTCACGACCAAGCCAAAGAACTGGTTTCTCCAACACACATTGTTCTAAGTACACACGGAATACATGCGCAATAGCACAAAGAATGATGTCGTAAGTGGCAAAAAGTATTTGAGCGGTTCTGTAGGAGAGCAGAGAAGGGTGAACTCTGGGAATAACTTAGTGAATGGAGTTATATTTTGCAGACAGGGAAGACATGGGCCTGGACTCCACAGGTGGCCTGTGGTGGAAAATAGTGGGGAATTCACAAAGGTGGATAGACGGAAAGGGTTCGTAGGCCGACATGTGAGTTGGGCATGTTGTCCTGGCAGCAGAGGGAAGCCAGCGGGAGGCTGGAGCATGATGAGATTGAGGAGTCAGGAAAATTGAGTCCACATCTGGCTGTAAGAATGATCATTTCCTTTTTTCCGCAGATGAAATACTGAAATGCTGAGCATTTTGTAAATTAGCCCAGATTCAGTTTGCCTAAGTTTGGGCAGAACCTTTTCATAAAGGCTTTCCATAGAACCATTTAAAAAAACATTTAGCTTTTTAGTTTAGAAAGAGGAATCTTTTTTTTTTTATTAAAGTTCCCCTATTTGTTTATCAACTCTTCATTTCTATTTGGAGTCTTTCTTCCTCTCAACGTTCTTTCTTCACTTGAAATTTATCTTTTAGTCTGTTTTCTACTGTCATTTCTATCTTTTCTTCTATAACTCAAGCATTTTTCTTCCACAGACACCTTCTTCAAAATGTTCCTGTCTCCTCTTGGTAGGTTCTCCTTCCTAAATATACATATATATAAATATAGTATTTATGTAAATATAAAATTTTTGCTTAAACTGTGACTATTCTTTTATTTCACTCCAACTGAGAATACAAGCCAATAGCGATTGAGCTTTTCTAATTCCACTTACATAATATAATAAAAAGCAACCTCAAATCTGTCTCTCAACTTGTCATATTTCTTTAAACTTGGGAGGTTTCCTCTCACTTAATCTTCCCTTTTCTGCAAGTTCTTTGGCTTTTCCACTGACTGTATTTACAACATCCATAGTTTCCAAACCCAATGTTGAGACTCACGGTCTGACAACTGGACAAGATATTTGAAAGCACAGATGTCGTTGAGGCCTGTGGTTTCTCTGCTGAAATCTCACCCTTCCCCCCCTTCCATATTTTCCTTTGCTTAAGAGGCCAGATGATGGAGTTATCTGGAAACAGAACTAAGACTTGTAGGTGCTCGACTTACTATTTTATTACCAGCCCTGTGCCAGGAACCTCTTTTTTCGGGGGTGTGGAAGGGGGGCGGAGAGAAAGTTGGCATCTGTGTGTGGGCAGGCAGGGACACACCCACTTGGAAAGGAGGCATCTCTGGAAGTGGGAGGGAATAGGACTGCAGGTGCCCTCCTCCTGGGGGCAGGAGTCAGCTACTGGCCACCCACAGCATGCAGGAGCCCTCACCCAGTACCAGAGCCTCAGGCACACCTTCAGAGCCCTGCTTGCCCGTAAGTAAGTACCCACTTGGAGGGCTGGGGGTGGGAGTGTTTCCTAACTCTTTGCGGTTGCTAAGCTTGACGAACAAGGCTCTCCATTACTTAAGAAATGATCCCAAAAAGTAGAGAGAGATGTCAGGCTATTTTTTACAATGTAATTTAATTGTCCATCTATTTATTTCAATGGGGGTGAATCAGGCAAGCCCCCGGAGTAAGCGGCTGTCGGGAAGGTCTTATCGGCTCTTGGCTTTGCAGGTGATGGTGCACGGGAAGGTGCAGGGTAAGCTACTCGCTGAGGACCGTCAGGCTACAAGTCTGTGGAGATGTGCTCCACCTCTCCCTCCTCTCTGCATGCCAGTTCCTCCTGCTGAAAACAGCTAAGCCTGCTGTTCGGAATTCTTAGAATCTCAGCCCCAGAGGGACCTCTCTAGGGCCAAACTGACCTTACACTGGGAACTTTATTACCCAGAGTTTGGACTCTCTGTTGCGACAGTTCTCAGGAAGTGTGGGTGTCTCCCACCATCAGTGTCTCTCTCTCTCTCCGGGGCGTGCTTCTCCCTACTCTGAGGAAGGCCAGTGAGGCCCCAGCCCTGGACGTCGTGAGCAGCCCGAGGGTTCGGAGCCTCCAAAACCCATATATAGGCATCCAGGACACAGAAACAGTGGAAGCAGCCAGGAGGGAATCAAGAGAAAACCTAAAATTTCCAATGTTCAAAAACTTGGGGTGGTACTTAATGTAGAGAACACTGAATTCTTTGTGATTCCTGGACTCATTTGCTTTGCCTTTCTGGTCTAGACAAGAAGGGATCAGTACATATCTGGGGCCTGGAGGGAATGTACACGGGAGCCTCAGAGGCCATTTCGTGTGGCTCTGACTCACCCTGACTCTCTGTGAAGTGGAAACTTCACACCACTCAGGTGTGGCCAGCCTTTGACCTTTGTTGTGAATCCCCAAGAGTTACCACAGTCCCTTCCCAATTACTCATTTCACTTTAGCTGTGGTTCAGCTAAGACTTCTGGCTCAAGGAAAGCTGTAGAAGAGGACACAGGATGAGGTGGGAAGAGGAGGAAGAGGAGGGAACCAAGATGAAGGTAAAAAGAGACCTAGAGATGAAGGAGGAAGAGGCAGTAAGTGAGAAGGGAGAACTGGTTGGCCCTTTCACAAGCGCCATGCCTGCCCCTACACCCCACAACAAGGGCACCCGGTTTTCCGAGGTATGGGAGTATTTCCACCTGGCCCCTGTTCGTGCTGGCCACCACCCCAACCAATATGCCACCTGCCGCCTGTGTGGCAGGCAGGTGAGCCGTGGCCCCGGGGTGAACGTGGGCACCACAGCCTTGTGGAAACATCTAAAGAGCATGCATAGAGAGGAGCTGGAGAAGACTGGCCATGGTCAGGTGGGGCAGCGCAAGGACCTGAGGCCCCAGGGGCCCCAACTCCCCATGGGTATCGAGGGCGACTGGGCCCGGCTCCTGGAGCAGGTGGGGGCCCTGGCTCTGTGGGCCAGCCAAAGGGAAAAGGAGGTGCTTAGGAGGGAGAGGGCAGTGGAATGGCGGGAGAGGGCAGTGGAAAGGCGAGAGCGAGCCCTGGAGGAGGTAGAGAGGACCATCCTGGAGATGAAGTGGAAGCTGAGGGCTGAGAAGGAAGCCTGTCAGAGACAGCAAGAGCAGCTTGCCGTGGCTCATCCCTTCCATTTTGTGTAATCAGCCTGGGAGGTATCTATTCTGAAAACACAGACTGAGGCTCACAGCAAAGAGCCACGTTAGGATAAATAGAAAGAAAGTATTTGTGTTTTTAAGAGAAAGAGTGCATAGTATGAGTTAATCTCAGCAGGTATCAACTGACCAAACACTTACCTACAGGGTCCCTAAAGCTGTCCTGACCAAAACTTCAAAATGTATTAACTGAAGATAAAGGTTGTTTTGCCACCATGGGTCTGTGAGTTTGGGTGCAGAATGTACCATTCTGCTATGTTGCTGAGTGAAAATAACGGGATTTATGCTTTGCACTTGGTTTTGGTGGAGCTGAGGGTTCTGACAGTTGAGGCTGGTCAGGTGGCTGGAATGTGCCTACGTGACCAGCTCACTCTAAGAGACCCCACCAGGAGTGGAGCTTAGGCTTCCTGGGGCCCAGGTGTTTGCAGACATCCTGGTGGTGAGTTAAGAACTGGGTACAGAGCTTGTTCTGTGGGGCCCAGCTGTGGAAGGACATAGAAGCTTGCGCCTGAGATCTCAGGCCCCATCCAGTGCAGGTCTTTCTCCCACTGGTGCTGTTGTACTGCCTGCTCTTATTAAAGCTGTGTCACCAGCAGAACCTGTCTGAATCCTGTCAGTCTTTTCAACAACCTAACACATACGTCAGTAATGTGTAATCAGCACAGAGAGAATTAAAGACTTTTCAACTTACTCGGATGAAACATTAAGAACAGAGGATATAGAAACTTATTCATAAATATTTTAAAATATAATCCAATTTCATATTAAGGTCTGTTAAAGAGGGAGTTCATGAAGAAGAGATGAGAGAAACTCAGGAAGGAAAAAGAAAGGTAGAGAGATGGGGTGAGGAAGGAGAAATAAAGAACAGAGGCAGAAAACCAAAAGAAAAAGGGATAGAGAATAAGTGTGAACACAGAAGAGAGACAGATTCCCACCACCCCCAAAAAAAATTCACCATGAAAAGATGAGAGACCATGACTGGGAGACTGAAGGACAGAGAACATTTTCCTAGGTTCTGAGGTCAATTTTAACACTTAGGTTGCTTTTGTTTTGTCCCGACAGACCACTCATTCATTTGAGCAGTAGTTTTGGGATTTTATCCTTGTCTTTGAGATGCTGGCTGCATGCCAATTCTTCCCTGTTTTTTTTTTTTTTAATGTTCATTTTAAAATACTCAGAGATGGGGTGCCTGGGTGGCTCAGATGGTTAAGCGTCTGCCTTCGGCTCAGGTCATGATCCCAGGGTCCTGGGATCAAGCCCTGCATCAGGCTCCTGGCTCAGCGGGGAGCCTGCTTCTCCCTCTCCCTCTGCCTCTCTCCCTGTTCACGCTCTCTCTCTCTCTCTGTATCTCTGTGTCTCAAATGAATAAATAAAATCTTTTAAAAAAATAAAATACTCAGAGATGCTTTGAAAAAAGGAAACCTAATAGTCTATAGGGAGAGAACAATTCCCTGGGCTGTTGAGAATATGCCTAATATGTTCACTCTGGAATAGAATAAAACCAACTGGCAAGGACTGTGGCCTTTGTGCTGGAGCGACTTTTATTTTGAATGACTCCTCTAGAACCTAATGTTTTTTGTTTTTTGTTTTTTTTGTTTTGTTTTGTTTTTACTGGGTTGGTGGTGGGAGCTGGGGAGACAAGAGCTAATAAACACAGTCTTTCATTGTCTCGTAAATAAGCCCAAGCCCTTTATGGGCATCAACCTTCCAGAAAGCGGAAGAGATCCTGGTATAATAATGGCTTCTTGCCTCGCTCCGTCCTTACCTGTGTGTGGCTCCCTCTTAGCGCTTGTTCTTAGACTGTCAGCAGCTCTAACAGCCACATTTGTCTTCCCTGTGAGCTGTGTGTGGAACAAGCACAAGTCCAAACACAAACTTGTGAAAAACCCAGACTGTACTGCAGGCTTATAATCTCCCTTTTTGTTCTAGCAACCTGCCTGATATTAGAGATTTCACTTCCCATATGAATTCCCAAAGGGGTATGGTGCCATTTTTAGGGCCGTCTCCAGCTGCGGTGAAAGCTCAGGGACTCACCACTGCAAATGAAGATGGCCACTGGGAGTCCCATGGCTGGACACTGGAAATCAGAGCCTTATTGTGTCATAAGATGGAAGGAAGGAAGGGGAAAAGAAGCTCTAATACCTAATCTTAAACACACACACACATACATTTGAAATGGAATTTAAGAAGGACAAAGAATCCACAAAGTTTCAGGCTTTGCAAAATCACAATTAAATAAACAGCAACAATGAAAATCTGCAAACAGCCACCAGAGCTATACTGCTGAATGGTAATATGTGGTTTTAGATTATGGTGTCTGCTTCATATGTCCCTTACGATTTTAGCTTCTCTTCATTTTCAGGCATTTTTTTTTTTTAAGATTTATTTATTTTAGAGAGAGAGCATGCACGAGCGTGGGGAAGGGGCAGAGGGAAAGGGAGAGAAGCAGAGCAGAGCTTGGAGCCTGACACAGGGCTCAATCCCACGACCCTGAGATCATGACCTGAGCCGAAATCAAGAGTCTAATGCTTAACCAACTGAGCCATGCAGGTGCCCCCTTTTCAGGCATTTTAACCCCAACTACTTTTGTTTCCTGTGTCATGTTAGGTAGTTCTTTTTATATTTTTTTTCACCTAACTTTTGTCAAACATCATAAACGTGGAGAATAACAAGGACGAGATCCAGAGAGATGATGGCGTTAAATAAAAAGAGGCATCAATAGAGACATGTGGCTCGTGGAAAGATCGAACTATTGAGTAAACTCTGGAGTTTTCATGCCTCTCTCTGTACCTTCTTTTGCTGCATCTTCACAGTGGGTTATGCAGGGCCAGGGCTATGGGCTGATGGCTCTCTAGGCCACATATTTTTTTGGAATACAAAGTCTGGTACATGAAGGGGCCCTGTGGTTTCAGTAAAGACTCCCTTTCCATCTCAGCTGCAGGGGCGAGGCTGTGCACCATGCTGGGGCCCTGGTGAAGTCTTGCCCTGGAACTCACAAGAATATGACACCCACAGGTGTGACACTCTCCTTGGACAACCCTGGCATGTCAAAGCCTGAGAAGCATCATTGTTAGGGTAATTTGGGGGCTTTTCTATTTTTCAGGAAAAGCCAATTAACCATAAACTTTATCGCTTTAGTAATGCTGGAAAACATAACTCATAACTGACCAAATCCCCATTACTTTAACACCAAGGGCTGCTGGTGTAGTGACTATGCAGCACATAGTAGGTATCCAATATGAACATGTTGAATTAGTTAATTTCTAAGGAATGAAGGGGGGGTTGGAAATTACCATTACCCAACACTTATGGATGCCAGATGGCAGATACTTCGCATATGTTCTTTCATTTGATCTTTATATCACTTTTGGGAGTTTGGGATCATTGTCCCTGATGAGGAAGAGCTAAGGATGAGGAACCTAAGGAATCGAGGTCCCAGGGGCCAGAGTTAATAAGTGATGGAGGAGAATCCAGACACAGGTCTATTGGATTCCACAATCTATATTCTGTTTTTTCATTATCTCATACTATCTCTTAAAATCAATCACACAGGAGATTTATGAATGTATATTCAGATGAAGGGATGGGAGAAAGAGAATAGGTGAATGATAAATAGTGGGAGGAAAGAAATATTCTCAAGACATCTATTATGTGCAAAGTACTCCATTAGTGTGCATAAATTTCATTCACCTAAGAATCCTGTGAAATATTAATCTTGATCTCAGTTTTAGATGACTTAGCTGAGACTCGTGGAGGTGAACTACTGGATGAAGATATGTAGCCAGGAAGTGGTCAAATTAGGATTCGACATTAGTTCTCTCTGCCTCTGAACCATAGGCTCCTCTCATTATACCATCCTGCCTGGAATGGGGCATGCTAAATTCTCATCCTTGCTCTGCCCTTTATTAGTGACTCAGTCAGTTGTGTAGACTCTCTGGGCCCCAATTTCTCATCTGTAAAATGACTGATGCCCTACCTTCTTCAGAGGCTCAATGAAAGCATGACTCGATAAAAGCATGTAAAAGGACTTTGAAGAGTTAAGAAGCTATTAAAAATACAATGGGGACTCTAAGAATATTAGGGTAAAGAATTACTAATGTTTGGCAAAATCTTAAAAGATCCACAGACAAGCTGTGTCCTGTCACTGGTTATGTAGAGTCGGTGAGAGATTACTCACTAATTCCCCAGGAAGGAAGGTTCTCCGATTTTCCTAGTCAGAGCCTAGGTAAGCATGGATACAGAAGAGGAAATCGGATAACGTGTAAGAGAAAGTCCTTTTTCTTTTTAACTGGAATTCTTGGATCCAATCTTATAGATTTATTCTGTATCTGGATTGAGTCCTTATTACCTGTAAACACTGGCATAAAGAACCTTCAAGAAATCCTTAGAAGAACCAAAAACACCTATCAAACATTGTGCCATTAGTTTGTTTTATTTAAACTATTGAAATGAAGTCCACTAATAAAATTGGAATTAATTGTGAAAGAACAAAAAATTTTAAATCTTTTTTATATACTCAGGACTACAACAGCAATTATCTAAGAGACTAATACATAAAATCAACAGAAGACACAAATATATTCTCATTTAAAACCATCCCACAGAGTTTGAGCTATGATTTGTATGCGGCTGTCAAATTAAATGACTGATATGCAGCAGGATCAGAAATCATAAGTTATTTAATGTTCGTAGGACTAGAAGAAACTAGAATATGAGTATAATTTTCTCTCATCTCATGTAGCAAGAAATGTTTGAGAATTTGTGGGAATATTTATTTTATAACTTGGGATTTTAAAAAGCTTGAATTAAGTCAAAGTGCCCCAAGATAGCTGATTAACACTAATAGTAATAACAATATAACAATCATAATGTTCATTGAGTGCTTAATATCTGCCATATTTATACCAAGAACTTTCCATACATTATTTCATTTAATTCTTAAGAACAACAACAATATGCAGATACCCTTCTTATCCTCTTCACAGAGATAGAAAAACTGACCACAAAGATTGAAGTTATTTGCCCAAGGTCACAGCCAGCAAGAAGAGCTGGCAAGTGAGCCCAGATCCCAGTGACTTGAGGCTGGGAACTATCAACAAGAAACTGAAGTCAGATAGCCCTACACTACTTTCCTTTTCCACCTGCCCCTTCTCCTACCGCCTGAGAAATAGCCAGGGTTCTGAAGGAGTTACAGAAGGGCAGCTTTCCTCTTGTTACTTCTAAATAAAAACTATAGGAAAGCTGGTATAGGAAATGGACTAGAACAAATTAAATGCAGCTGAACAAAAGCCTCATTCTTACACCAGGATTCACACTACTTTCTGTCCTACTTTTCTTTCCCTATCTTCTCCAGTTTTTATTAAGGAGAAACTGAAACTATTGAGACTATTTTTCCAGAAAATTTAAGGACTAAGGATTACAGATCACATGTCCTAAGAGCCCAAAGTCAGGAAGTAAGGATTCCCATTTGGTTTCTAGGATCAACTCAGCTTCCCTTCTTCACCAGAAATTAATTGACTGAGGGCCAAGGAATAAGGTCCTTTGAGAAAACATTCTGGACAATGATGCAACACAACACATCTTGGCATATTATACTATAGATTATCAAAGGTTTTAATGTGACTCACCTCTCTCAAGACATCCGTAGAGTTATTTTCCACAATCGTGGGGATTTCTGGCTTAGCTTAAAGGCAAATAAAACATAGTTAGTGGCACTGACTGTCATCTGACCTGGCCACTAATGTGTGTGTGTGTGTGTGTGTGTGTGCACGCGTACATGTAAAATTCATCATTCATCAAATATTTATTAAACACCCACCATGCACCCAGCAGTATGCTAGATACATAGAAACAAAGGTGGACAGATCAACTTCACGGTCTTTTTTTTTTTTTAAGATTTTATTTATTTGACAGAGAGACACAGCAAGAGAGGGAACACAAGCAGGGGGAGTGGGAGAGGGAGAAGCAGGCTTCCCGCGGAGCACGGGGCCTGATGCGGGGCTCGATCCCAGGACCCTGGGATCATGACCTGAGCTGAAGGCAGACACTGAACGACTGAGCCACCCAGGCGCCCCTCAACTTCACTGTCCTTAAGAAATTTACATTTTCATGGAAAATACAGATCTTAGAAAGTCAGAGAATATTTCAGTGATTTTGATGTCCTGCTAGACTGTAAGTGCCTAGAAGCCAGGCTGTTTCATTCATCTCTCCATCTCTAGCACTTAACAGTGCCCAGCACAAAATAGACATTGAGTACATTATGTTGAACTGAAGTGGTTTCAAGTCAGTTCTTGATGGCAGACAGAGCCATCTATGAACCAGTGGAGAAACAGTAAGCCTGTCACAGGTGCTGTCACTGCTACATCCACTTGGCACTTGCTTCTACTTGTTGAAGGCCTCTCGTTGGGTATACCTAATGAGTCCCTCCTAAGGATTTCTGGGAGCACACTTAGTCCACAAGTAGGGCAAACTGGAAGTCTAGAGAGCTAATGGTGAAAACAGATGGCGAGTTGGTGGATAATACCCCAACTTCCTTGCCTTTATATGGGAGAACTCTGATGTGTGTTCTTCTGGAGTTCTCTGGGGGGAGTGAGCTCTAAGTCCACACTGGTAACCAGCATGATCATGTACATTTCATTATCTTCCTTCCCTTCCTTGGCTTTTCCACTCCTCTTCTGATGTTTCCCTCCATAAATTCCCTCAATAAATACTTCTCAAATAAATTAATTTAGCTCAAATCCTTGTCTCAGTGTTTTCTTTCAGTGGAATCCAAACCAAAATACAACCCAAACTAAAATACACTAAAGGGAGGAGGGGTATTCTGACCTCATATTAGCAATAGATACTATTGGAATGAAGGACCTGAAAGAAAAAACAGTTACTGAAAGTTGCAAGGGTACTAGAGAGACATTCCTTTAGAAGCTCAGGACAATCAGGTTTAGGGCTTAGGAGGGGGCAGGCGCAAACCTGTGATGGCAGGTTCCCTGATAAGGAAAGTCAAGTCAGAGGAGATTAGTGAGAGAGGGGCAGGAAGTAGCAAGGGAGCTGGGGAAGCTTCTGGTTCCTGGACTGTTAGAGAATGGAGGCATTATTAAGGAAGAAGAAATAGCTGGATTTAGGGCATCCAAGCTGGAGTGGGTCTCTGCTACACTTGGGTATTTATTTCAAGGTTTTCAAGGTTTTATTTTTGGCTTGTTCTATTTGAGGAATCACTGAGGGATGCTGAGTGGGTCCTGAATAAGACATGTATTTTACCGCCATGCCAGGACCACTATAAATGCACTTGGTGGCACACACACATCATCTAAGGACTAGATGAGACTGGCCAAGCACAGCCTGGCTGGCCCATTCGCTAAAGAGGAAAGCCAGGAAGCAGGGAAAATCTAATGAACGAGCAGGCAGAACCTCTTATTTTTAAGCATCCACTGAATGGAGATCAAAGAAGAAACAGAGAGGGAGATGTAGACACAAACAGGGCCAGAAGAGCGAGCCGTCAAAGAGTGAAAAGCTTTCAAGACGAAGATGGAAGTATCTGCCGCAGAGAGATATGGGGCACGGTTAAGTGTTGACAAGGCAGTTAGATCAAGCTGTGGTGCAAAAACCCTCGGTCAAATGGGACATAGTTTGCCTAACTTAGAATCGACATTTCTTTTCACATCCTGGATAGCTGCCTTCATTGATTTGCCAAAAGTCAGGCCGAATGAGTCAGTTTCATGTTGGGTCGAAGACAGTCACGCCCCAGTAAGTAAGCGGAGGGTGATATCGATGAGGGATGAACAGTCTTTCCCACCTCTTCACAGTGCACTGTTCAGGCTCCATAAGCAACCTGATCATCAGGGGTGATCCATTATCTCTTAGCCCATCCCCCAAGGAGAGGTGGAGGGAAAGGGAGGGAAGGAGGGCGAGCCGGAGAGAGATATAGGAAGAGCTATAAGCAAAAGACTTCAAACTACAGAAATCTTGGCTGTAGCTGCTTCTATCTTTATGCACCACAGGGTTTGCATTTCCCTCAAAATACTGGATTCTCTGATCTTTAAAAATAATGCAATATGATTCTAAGTAAAAACAAAGATTATTCACTTGTCCAGTCATTCAGAGAACTAAAGGAAAATCTAGTAGCTCATGCCCTTAGATTTTGTGAAGTTATTTTCTATTTACCTCATTTGCAAAAATAATTAATTGTTCATCCACATCACTGCTTTTCTCTTTGCCTTCATTTAAAAATCACTTTTTAAAAAACACAGTTTTTGGTGACAAAGATAAAAAAAATCCAAAGCCAGGGGTTTGTATTTATTAATATTGCCATGCATCACTGAGCAAAGTAGGATTTTCACATTTCCCCCAAATTTACTCCCTGCAGAGTCTGTGCAATTTGAGTGAGGCCACGGTGGATATTTCAGCTCTGCTCTACACTTTTGTGAAGGCAGGGACAGAGGGCCATCCCTGCAGGCTCCTTTGCTGAGGAGCTGGCCCTGCTGGGGATGGGGAGACTCCTGCAGTTTCTTTGGAGCTGTGTTTATCATTTTCCCTTCCTCACACTGTCCCCATTCTGCCTTCCTCCAGCAAGCAACCAAGACAGTTAGACAACTAAGTAATTAGATTTTGGCAGTTATAATTAAAGAGATTTCCAGTATTCTCAGGAAACATTAAAGTTGTAAATAAGGAGTGGTCACCAGGAAACTGGCCAATCTATGGCTTTCTGTGTGATTTTATTCTATCAACTCAATCATTGTTTTTTAACTTCTATCCTTATCCTCACCCCTAACATGAATGACAGTCTCAAGGGAAACAGCTCTAGAGTAGCTACCCTGGAGGGCTACTCTCCAGTTAACAGGGCACTTTCTTTCCAGGGTAGAGCAAGGCAGGAGAAATGGACAGAAAGACGGCAGGGAGCTCAGAGAACAAAAAATCTTACCAAAAACCTTGACTGTGGTGGAACTCCTCAAGATTTTGCCAGGTCTGACCATAACGTGGCAGGAGAACTTCTGGTCATCATCGTGGATTTGGACTGGAGAGAGGTAGAGTTTATAGTCTGTACCTAGCTTGACTCTGTCTTTAAATAATGTGGAATTGCTGATGGATTGACCTTGGGTGATAAGTGTTTCCCGAGTTCCATTATCCTCCTGCTGAAAGAAATAGTTACTAGTTACTGTGCACTCAATCATGCCAGCTCTGGGCTAGATGTTCTCCATGCATTAATTCATTTATATCTGTAAAAATAGAGATGATGAATGAAGAATTGAAATTAAGAGAGATTTAGTATGTTACTAGAGAAAAGATCTTTACACTTGACTTTCAGTTGACAACTACAGTCACCCTCTCCTAACATGAATATAAACTTGATGCTCTTCTGACTACAATTTCCCCTTCATAACTTTCCATAAGCTGCATATCGGGGGTGGGATTTGGAGGGCACAGCACTGGGGGCTAATGAAAGATCATAAATCTCATTTTAAGTTCAAGAATCTTAATGCTAAGATGTGCTTATCAGTTTTGTTTTAAATCTTCACCAGAACTGGATGATTACAGTTGTCCTCCCTTCAACCTTCCCCTTAGAAAAGGTCTCATTTTAGCTCCCCTAGGGGCCAGGACTAGGAGGAGGTGAAGAGACCCCTAGGGCATAACATTTAAGGAGGCACTTAGTCTCAGGGACTTGTAAGTGCAGGGTGGGCATCTGAGAGTAAGTGCCTCCTTAAATTTTGTGCCCTAGACACCTCCTAGTCATGGTCCTTGCCCTCTGTCCTTATTTCTATGTTACCTTCAAGGAGGACACATATAGGGTAGACTGTAAATGTTAATCTGAGTTCCACAGATCAGAGTGTATTTGAAGTACTTGGTTCTTCTATTCCATATCCTTTCTTGGGTCTGTGAAGGAAAGCTCCTATTATTCTTGCCATACCCAGAATTTCCATGGACAAGATCCCTGGGGTATCACCGTGCTGGTCAGTGTCAGTAAATGTGCTAAGGGCCAGTGAGGAGGAGACTCTTGAGGGGCACAAGGGTAGAGGAAGGGTTATGCCCTCATTCTTCTTTAGTATAACTTAATATTCTCAACTGAGTTGCTCTGAAAACATTCTGATGCACAAAGTCTCTCCTCTGAAGATTCTACCTCAGTTATTCTGGGATGAGACTCAGGCTGGGGTATTTTTTTTTTTTTAAGATTTTATTTATTTTTTTGAGACAGAGAGAATGAGAGACAGAGAGCATGAGAGGGAGGAGGGTCAGAGGGAGAAGCAGACTCCCTGCCGAGCAGGGAGCCCGATGCGGAACTCGATCCCGGGACTCCAGGATCATGACCTGAGCCGAAGGCAGTCGCTTAACCAACTGAGCCACCCAGGCGCCCTGGGGTATTTTTTTTTTTTAAAGGTCCTCAAAGGATCCAGATTTGAGAACCACTGGTCTAACTCTAAACAACAGATGAATCATTATATGCAGAGATCAGGGGGAAATGAGGGGAACTAAGATGAAGAAGGTTGAACAGCAAGCATTTGATGGGGAAGAAGAAGTCACAAAATAATGAAAACAAAGATCTGTTGCTTGAAATTTCTGGCCTAAATCTGTTAAAAAAACAGACAGATTCAGAGTAGTAGAAATGGAAGCTAGGTGAGTGAGAGAATTCAAGTTTGAGCTAGGAGCAGAAACAGTGGAAACACGAAGACAGACTTCTTAAATAGTTCATACAGATATTTCCAGAATATACTTAGTAGAAATTCTTCTGTAAGATAGGATTCTTTAGGTGCATATAGCTAGGATTGGTATCAACTTTACATACAGATTCAGATAGTACCTCTTGCAAAGAATGATACCCTGCTCAAGACTTCCTCCTGAAACAATGTACATACTTTTATCCCCACATAAAGATGGACCTAGGAGTCTTCCTAGTGAAGAAGCACATAGAAAATTAAAGGGAGAGAGATTGTATCCTGGAGACAGGGGCTCTGAAAGGAGCCCTTAGTGTTGGGTGGTGACAGCAAAGAAAGTGGAAGGCGGTTCACTCAATGGCTGCTGATCTGGAAGCCAATCATTAAGGAAGCAGGCTCCCCCTGCAGGTCTGCACAACCTGCTAATTTACACAGCTCTTGCTTCATGCACAGGCTGTTTTTGTGAGGATCTTAGAGTTCAAAACGCTTCTTGGTCACTTAGGAAATGACTCCCCACTTGGAATGCTTCTATCTGTTACTTTGTAGTGGGAAGAAAGGCAGTCAGAGGCTGAGCTTGGAGACTAGGGAGACAAAAGCTGCCTTTCCTTTATTGTGTAGCTCTGTGTGCCTGGCTAGCGTAGTTAATTGATGGAGGAGTTAAAAATGGGGCCGAGGCAAGAACCTGCACACGAATGGCCGCCTTCTCAGAGCAAATGAGAGAAGAGTTGGGGAAAAAAATGAGTTCAGGCAAACAAATGAAATGTCTGGAGCTGGGAGAGGGGAAAATAATACTAATATTACGTTACTACCACTACTAAAATTTTATATTCTTATTAATCATAGCTTAAATTTATTTAGCACCTACTATGTTTTAGACACTGCAAAGTTCTTTCAAGTCTTATTTATTCCTTATGACAATCCGGAATAAACTAAGGCTAAGTAATTTGTGCAAAGGTCAAACAAAGCAAGGTACTTAAGTCACAGCATCAAAAAGCAGAGACGCCCAGGTCCAGGGACAATTAAGTCTCAGAGACAACATGTACTAATAAAAACCAAACCATCACAAAATAATAAAAAGAATTTTTTTTGAGTATCTGGAATGAAAAATTTAGGAGAAATTCCAGGAAGCCGGAGGCCTTTATAAAATCTGCAGATTACAGAGGTGTGGGCAATTTGTTGACTGAAAGAGCTCTTTTAGGGGTCAGAGAGTATACCTCAACTCCTACCTGATAATAATGACCTTAGGTAACCTGGTCTGCTGGAAACAGACTGGTAAGAGGTCTTGTACAGAGTCTTTATTCTTACCTGTTTGGGTGGTTTTTTTTTTCTTGTTCTTCAAAGAAAAAAAATTGACAATTTTTTAAAATATTAATAAATATTTCTAAAACTTAATGGGATTCTCAAATTGGAGGACCCATATGATTTAATGAGGAATGCAGCCTGAGCCAGCTAACATGTATGGTACCTTATGCTACACCCTCAGGAGACACTCAAGTAATACAAACTTACTGTCCTCCAGCCTCACTGATGATCAGTCTGTATTTCATGAGAATTCATGATCTGCAAGGCTAAACTGAAGAATTACGGAGAGTCATAAAATGGATCCTTTAAAGATGAACTTTCAATATGTACTGAGTACAGGTACTATGCTAAATTATTTAGTTTGAATTACCTTATTCATACTTCACAATGCCACCATCAGGTCAATGCTATGATCATCCCCTTTTACACAGGAGGGAACTAAAACTTAATGTAGGCAACATATCCAAAGTCAGACTGAATTCTGAGACAAAAGGAACAACGTGTGCCCCTATATACACTTCTTAAAATATTCTCCCATATCTTGACCAAGTGGAAAAAATTAATAAAAAATCTACAATTAAAAAAATTTTTATGACTGTGTAAAGTTGTGCCCATGAGGGATACAATATCATGAAGTCCCAGAAACCACAGGCTAACTGGAAAATACTTCTCCTTGAACAGCATACCTGGGTCTCAAAACAGACAAAAACACTGCCTACCTTTATTTAAAATTTGATATTTTGTTTATCATGCATTTCCCCTAAATTTTGGCTTTAAAAAAATAATTCATTAAAATATGTATCTCAATTGCTGATTTTTGGGGCAGTCCCTTAAATTTTGTACTTAAGGAGAGGGCCTTGCTCACCTCACCCTAATCCTAGCTCCCAGGTCACACTGTTAGTAAACAGAAGAGCCAGAATTTGAAAACAACAATTTCCTTCCAAAAGTCATGCTATTAATGATTTTGCTATATTCAGCCTCATAACAGTAGTAGAACAAACAGTCCTTGCCTTTTCTGCTTATAGTCTATTTGAGGGGAAGAATAAATTCACAAGAAAAACAAAAAATCAGGACCCATAGAAGAGAAATAAACGTATAATTAAATTTTGGGCAGGAGTTGGATAAAATAATTAGCACGATGAGGGTTGGGCAGGGTCTTATCGAATCATGAAAAGCTCTTCCTGTATGTCCCTTAATGACCTTAATGACAAACCTTAAAATAATTTGTGAAGGCTTTCCTGTTTTTGTATAGACTCAGAATTTCCAATACAGAAGAGAGACTTTGTTACTATTTGATTTAGTGATGTTATCTCATCTCCAGGCTGGCCTGAGCACCATGTCGGACCTGGCTGTGCTGACCACAGCCCATGGCAGGTGTTGAGTGTACAGAGCACATTCAATAAATTCTGTTAATTGTATCAACTGCTACTTCTTTATCTCCAAACTGCTTCCTATCTTCACATTTCTTCCATTTATTTTCTATCTAGTTGGTGCTGTCAAAACGGGCGGTTAGCAAAGCTCCCCACGTATCCTCTGTAGAACACTGGAACAATATTTTTCTAATCATCACAACTGGTTGTTAGTCCTTTGTGAGTTGGCTACCACTTTATTTCTGATTATAGTGAAGACAGGGTCAGCTGCCATCAGGTAGAAGGTGAGTTTTGTTTTCTGAATAGCTAGGCTTCCCACAGGCATGGGAAACCAACATTGTTTTTAATGCCAGTTCGCTTTTTGTTTAAATATAAAACATTACAAATATTGAAGAAGAGTATATGGAAAAGATATAGACAGAAATGTAAAGAAATATAAGCATCTAGGTTTTAGTTTTGTGCCTTTATCACAAATATTGAACTGTTTGAATCTGATATAGTCTTCTCCTTCTTTTCATGACTTTAAGGAGAAAAATCAGGGTTTCTCTTTATCCACCAAATTTGAAAACAAACATTTCTTCGATAACTCTCTCCACCTCCACTACCAACTTGTATTCAAGGTCCCAGGGTCTTGGTGTAGTACATGTCTGATGTTTGCTGGCCAACTGTTCTTTAATTATCCAGCTCAAATATAACCTAAGAAGCTTTTCCAGGTCCATTTATGCAGAATCAAACTATTTTCCCTCTCGGCTGCCATTTTTTGCTTTTATTAAAGCTGTATTTCATGGCAGGAAATATATTTGATGTAGTTTTGTATCCCTGTAGGACTTAACACTCAAAACAGATTCATATATGTTTGTGGGACTGAATTGAAATTTATGTTGTAGGAAATCAGGGTGATACCTTGGAATGAAAACAGAATATTAGGGGCACCTGAGTGGCTCAGTTGTTAAGCGTCTGCCTTCGGCTCAGGTCGTGATCCCAGGGTCCTGGGATCGAGCCCCACATCAGGCTCCCTGCTCAGCTGAATATTAGACTGTATTTAGAAGCTCCCAGAATAAGCCTGCAGAATTTCCCAGATGACTCTATCCTTGTGCCTCAGGACATAAACTGGAAAAACGATTACTTGTCCTTTATCTACCAACTGCACACCACCTAAACACAAATATCCTATGACTTCTTATTCATCATCCCATCATGTACATAAACCCTCAGTGTCCACTGAAGGATTAACCCTTTGTGTTTATTTAATTACCTCTCATGCTAGTTCAATGTTGGATACGCTATTTGCATCTGATGCCTTTCTGCTTCAGTGCAGTCGCCATCCTGGAATGTAACTTCCCCAAATGCCAAGAAACCACCGCACGGACACATTTGACACAGCCTTTGCATGGGGTTGGGTACACAAGGCAAATGACATTTTTATGATAACTGAGGATCCCAATGATCACCTTTCCCATGAGTGTCATAACAGAATTAATTAGATTTTATAAAATCCCACATACAAGGAGACATGACTTCTGTTTTTCAGTGACCTAGATTAAAATAATTTTAGTTTATAAATTTGTTTCTAGGGCTTTAGTGGGGCATTTGAAGTGGGGGAGCACTTTGCAGCTTCCTGGAGTTTCCCAGGTCAGTCCAGCAGGCTCCCACCCTCCTCAGCTCATCTTCACCACCTTCACTCTTTAATCTTTTTCTAAAAGCCACATTGTATCATGTTTTTAAGAACAACTGGCTTATTATGATTATTACCGCCAGTTTAACAAGAGAGAAAAGAATGAAAATATGGACTGAGGGGGTATTTGTGTCCTCTGCAGGCCTCTAATAGTTGTGACTCGAAGAATTGCAGTTGACTCCCTCATATGAGTACATTAGCTGATCTCCTCTCAGACCTGCTGAATCCCACAGCTGCCAACAGTGCGGAGCACAGATGTAAATCGGAGGAGCAAATAGATTTTGACATTTAAAAGGGGAATGTGCAGTAGGAATGTACTCGCACATTTGGCAATACAATGTTCCCTTTGAAGAGAGGTTTCTTTCAAAAAGATTCCTCAAGTTGTCTGTATCATGGTGCATTCTTCAAAGTGACAGCGTGGCTGGAGGTTCTCGACGTTTAGGATTGCCTCACTATGTGACCTTAGGTGCACTCTCTCCATCCCTCATTTATCCTACATGCCCTGGCAGGATCCACAGATAACGTCTGCCTAGCCTTCTCGCTTCTTTGAAGACAACCAGTGCATAGAAGATGCCTTATCAGTTATCTAGTTGTTGATACCTAATGAGATGCTCATTAACCAGTTGAACAGCCAGCATGAATTTAGTGACCATCAGTTTAATATGAGGCCAATGAATAGGACTGTGGGGGAGTGGGACAAAGAGAAACAGATCCAATCAATTATTTATTCTTTATTGAGTGCCTATGTACTAAAGGAGATGCTAGGGATTTTTTTAAATGAGTGGCATAGCTTTTTGCCCTGGAGAAACTCAGAGTCACACAAAAGACACAGGCTGGCTGAAGTATTGACACTTGCTTGGAAAAACAGATAACCCAGCCTTTTGATAAGAACACTATAGATCAACTTACTAGCCAGTATAAATCCCTACAGTCAAGCTTTATTAAACTGTATTATTATTTATTATTATTAAACTTGATGATTCCCCTTAATAGTGAAACTGTGGTAATTAGAGTGGAGATGTTCACGCATTGGTGGGAACTACGAATAACGCAAGCAAGGCGTAGATGGTGCACTTCCATTGCTGTAATGTTTAGTAGGGCCAGTTCCTGCCCTCTTGAGATCATCTCCTCTTTTCAACTTTTGTCTGAGAAACACTTTATATCATGTTGGTTAAGAACAATTGACTTATACTAATGATAGACGTAATGATAGGAAGACTTACATTTTGGAAACCAAACCCTATAAAAGGGGGGAAAAAGTGTTTTTTGACAGATGACAAAGAGACATTGTAGATTTTAGAACAGTCTGAGAAAATTATTTTAGAACATCTGTTTCTTTTCATCCTACTGACTATCCCAAAAATTATCTAGACAGTGACAACTCATCAGTAGGTTGTATTCTGAGGCCTCCTTGCAAGTCCATTATTCTGGATTTGGCACATCCTCAGACAAATGGTCTAGTTTCCAAAACAGTCCACAGAAATTTAGGTAACTTGTAATACGAGTTATCATTTATGTGGATATAGTATTTTGCAAACTGTATCAGCCACTATATTCATGGAGATCTAGGAGTTCTGCAAGAATTTTTGAATCTTGTGTTTTCATCTTGATGACCATCTAAAAATTATCATAATCATGTTCTGGATCATCTAAATCAACACCCCATTATGTGATTCTCAAAACTGTGCTTATGTTTATCTTCGTGTTAGTCTTGTGTCATCAACCAGTTTAACAATATTAGAGGTCTACTATAGATTTAGATTAAAGCTAGCTGCCGTTTGGTTGGATTGCCTTGGAAAGTTTCTCATAAAAATCTAGATTTCTGGCTTCTTTCTTTTTCCTCTTTCTCTCTCTCTCTTTCTTTCTTTCTCCCTCTCTTTCTCCTTCTCTCTCTCTGTCAGAAAACATGGCAACTATGGGCCTGCCACAATCTGTGGCAATAATAAACCCGAGCAGGCTGCTGAAGGGCTGCTTCCCACACAGGTCCTGCTTCTCTTGTGTATGTTTTCTGCCTGTATCTTATAAGCATTAGAGTTTGTGTCTCCCCATCTAAAGGAATGTTGCGTGTTCTCCAGGATGCAGTAGCAAGCATTCTAGGAAAAGGGGTTTCTTCCCTCTCCATATGTTGTTTATTTATTTATTTATTTTTAAAGATTTTATTTATTTGTTTGACAGAGAGAGACACAGCGACAGAGGGAACACAAACAGGGGGAGAGGGAGAGGGAGAAGCAGGCTTCCCACCGAGCAGGGAGCCCGATGCAGGGCTCGATCTCAGGACCCCGGGATCATGACCCGAGCCGAAGGCAGACACCCAACAACTGAGCCACCCAGGCGCCCCTCCGTATGTTGTTTATAAAACACATATTTGTGCGTAGGGGTTTCTGCTGCATGAGGCTCCTCTCCAGTGCCCATTACACTCTTTTCTCTCTGTAATCAGGGTTTGGTATATAGCTTGAAATAGAAACTAACCTTTAGGAACTAATTTTTAAATTACTGTCTTCATAGACCTGGAGGCTTGCTGAGTTGGAAGGAATCTTAGTGCCCCCCCACCGTCCCTCCCCCTCCAGTTCCCAACCTTCCATCTGTGTGCTTCCTTCCCTAGTATTACTTGCTATTCATTTTTATTTCATTAATATTTAAAGAGCATTGTGGTTATTCACCGAAAAGGGCAACACTTACCACCAACCATGCAAAGGTGAACTCAGACGAAATTTCTGAGGAGATATTTTGAAAGCATGGTATTTCCACAGTCTGATTTATCTGTACTTCTATTATATTGCTGCTTCTCCATTCATTCTGTGTAACTATAACGAAATATAGGCGGAAGAGACAGGAATATGTGATTGGTTTATAAAATGCTTATTGTGACAGAAACAGGAACAGTGTTAGTGTAGATATTCATCTGCCCTCAGGGCTCACCTATGACAAGGCAAAACCCCACTAACAGCCCTCATTGTATAAAAGGCAAAACTGAACTACTGAGAATCAGAGAGACTTGCTTACCACTGAAAAATTACAGGGAAGCTGCCCCAAAAGAATCTACCTCACAATTTGGTATGTTCCTCTGCTTTAACCCCAAAATAATGCTTTAGGCTTCAGATATTTTTTTGATCAGTTAGAATATAAAACTTTATAACCTAGCCTCTAATGATCTTATTAAAAATTCTAATAGGTTTAAAGTTTTTTTTTAGAGACGTTTTAGGTTCATAGCAAAACTGAATGGAAAGTAGAAAAAGTTCCCATATATCCCTTGTCCCCTAGGCATGCCCAACCTCCCCCACTACTAACATCCCTAACCACAGCGGTATATTTGTTACAACTGATAAAACTACCATGACACATTGACATCATTATCACTTCAAGTCCATAGCTTATTTACATTAGAGTTCACTATTGGTACTGTACATTCTATGGGTTTTGAGGGATGTATAATGACATGTATTCACCTTTGTAATATCATACAGAAGAGTTCCACTGCCCTAAAAATCCTCTGTACTGGAATCCTCCCTCCCTCCTGCCAAACTGACATTCGCTGATCTTTTTACTGCCTTACTGCCCTTATGAGTTGTCTTTTTGAGCTTACAAATATTCCTCCAAAGATGGAATGATATAGAAAAATATATAAGGAAACTCTGAAGAAGGCATTGTTAATGGATTATTTTCATTTTCATCTATTTATTTTTCATTTTAAAAGGAATATGACATAAATATCAGTTTCACAGCCTCTCTTTGGGAAAGTCATAGATATACACATACCCATTTGTGACTAAACTATAATAACATCCAAGAATAATTTATAAATGATTTCTATCATCCTAATATCCCAAAAATCTGATTTTCTTTTTTCCATGTCTATATAAATCTTGTTTGTATGCATATGTTTTCTCATACGTTGCAATCCTTTTAACCAACAAATGTTACCCGTATTCTTACTTAAAATGTTTTGCATGATTCTTAAGCTATTGGTGGTTGAAATTTTCAGAAACTTTATGTCATGCTATCATATATACATATCGTCATCTATTTTGTCATTTCCAGTTACTGAATTGTGTGTTCTTTCAATTTGGGTTTTTAGTTTATATAAACTACTATAATCAATAAAGCAAGGATCCTCCTTATACTAAGAGCTTTCTTCTGACCATTCAGCTACTTAAATTCCCTGAATTTAATGGGTATGAGTATTCTCATTATTATCAATGGCATATATTTTTAAGTGGAATATTTCTCAGTTTGGAATGTTATAGCTAGCCTTTAGGACTTTGTTATACTCCAATCTCTCAGCAGTAGAAGCTACCCTGTTTACTGATAATTCATTCCTCCTCCCTTCCTTACCTGAAACCAGGCCTCTCCATTAGGGCATATCTTCCTTGCATCATTCTCAAATAGTGGCCGTTTATTTTTTTGTGCCCTTATTTCCTCAAAATTAGGAGGTGGGATCAGTGCCTTCCTTGCTCCTCATTACTGTTTCCAAATGTTATCCCAACCCCATAATTAAAAAAAAAAAAAACAAAACCCCTGCCATTTATGATTAAGAGAATTTAGCTATAACAGTAATTCCAAATGATTTATTTGTATACTACCACCAAAATTGTTTGCCAGGACTGCTTACCACCATTACCACTATTTAATTTTATTCTTGATATTATTTTAATTGTTTTTTTATAATTGTTTTACTTACATAAGTTTATTTTCAACAGAGAATGATCTAGGCACTAATATTTGGGAAGTGCATGAAATCCACTTGATATGTTAATTATATTTTAATGTACATTACCCAAATATATAAGTATTAAATTTTTGTAAAGTTGATCCAGATTCTGGGAAGTTGGGAATGCAACCGACCTAACTTTTTTAATATTCCTGAAACTCCCTACAAAAACAGACAAAGTAACTAGAGTAGCAGACCTAAAAACATATAGGCAATATGTATAGGAACACTAATTAACAATATATCCCCATTAATAGATGGGGACAAATAACTGGACCACTGTGGTATCAGCAACTGAGCAGAAAGAAAGAGAGGAAAATCGACTGAGCTTCGGATGCCCCTCAGAACTAGAGAACTCCGCCCCCCACCCCCCCCCAGCCCAAAGCAACAGGTAATCACTGCAAAGACATGCAGACTAATCTGAGAATAGCAGCAGAAATGGAGAAAGGAGTTTGCAGGCACCAGATTACCAGTGCCCTCAAGGGAAACAAGAGGAGGCTTGTCAGTGCTGGAATAGAGGGTGCTTTTCAGACAGATCCCATACTGAGAAGAAACCCCTGGGAGTCGAATCCAAATTAAACAGGATAGGTCCAATAGGAGAAAGCAAACAGGCAATTTAGATAAAAGTGAGGGATAGGAGGGAAGGAAGTATATCTCAGAAAGTACAATGGCATATTATTTACCTTGAAAATAACAGAAGAGACTGCTCCAGAGACACTGAACACTTTATAAAAGCTAGCCCGGCCCACCCTTCCATGGCAAAAATCAACATGCATTTACCTTAAGTGTGAGCAATAGAAAAGGAATGGGGTAGAATCACACATAAAGATACTATAAGAAAAAAGAGAAAAGGGAACAAAAGAACATCCCCTCAACAATGGCAACATATTAGAAAAAGATAATTTCACAATAAAAACTGTAGCCTAATAACTCAAAATTAGGTAAAAGAAATAAGGAAAATGATATGAGCTGCAAAAAATTTTAGCAAGACTGGTAAATGAGTCAACTGGAAAAAAGGAAGCTCAGCAGAGACAGGTGAGAGAATTCAGGAAAGGGTTGGAAATAACAACTCATTGTAGAAATTAAGAGCAAACTAGAAGAAAAACACAGAACATTTGGCCCAAAAGTTAATGCACTAAAAGAAATTTTAAAATCCAATAAAGGGAAATTTTAAAATAAATTAAGAAATAATAAATTTTAAAATAAAAAGTATCACTTTCAAAGAAAGTGATAAGCAAAGAAGATTAAAAGCATGTATAATAGAAGGCACCAAAGGAAATAAGCAGTAGAAAGAAAAAAATACTAAAAATTATAATACAAGTACAATTTTTAAAGTAAAAAATGATTAGAAAATACATATTGAAAGATTATACTGAAAAAGTAGGAAAATAGGCTCAGAATAGATATTAAGCAAATTATTATAATGGTATTTTTTAAAAGTCAGTTATAGGAAAGAAAATAGGATTATTATTAGCTTTTTGACAGCAACTCTTCATGCCAGAAAATAATGTAGCAACATATTTAATGTACTCAAGGAAAGAAAATGTGAGCTAAGGATTTTATATTCAGCAAAATAAGTCTTTTGAGATGAAGACTACATAAAACCTGTTAGAGCCATGTGTAAGAAGTCAGGGAATATTGCTCCCATGAGCACTTCCTGAGGATTCGCCAATCGAATACACTTCAGACTGGAGAGGCATTTATATAAAGCCTGTGGTGAGTGTTGAATCTATGTTTGCCTTTAGCACTAAAAATAAATCATTGCTATAAGAAAGAGAGTAGTAATAAATATATATTTTGAAATAAAGAGAAAATATAAGGATCACAGATGAGGCAGGGAGAGGGTTGAGGTGCTTGTGGCTATGGGGCCATGAAAAGGTCAGTGAAAAAAGCCATGTATAAAACTGAGCAAATGTATAAAAACCATCATTTCAAGACCAAAGGCAAACATGTAATTGAGAAACATCTCTTCTTGGAAAAATGCTAGAACTTCAGTAAGAATAGCAGGAGTCTATATTCCTCTTGCCTAGGAATCCTTCCATTCCCCTTTCCCAGTGTTGTTAGTGAGACAGGTAGCTTTACCATCTTGGAGCTGGCTGCAAGAAACAGCAGCTTTTCTTCTGGAAGAGGCAGACTTAAATTAGGTCTGAGTATGAAGATCCTTCACTTTGTTAGCTAACAGGCACAAACTCGGTAGGAAACAGAGAAAAACTGAAGCTTTAGCATGGGTTTGCAAATCCCATTTGGGGTGAGTAGCAGAGCAGACAGACATTTAACACGGAGATTCTGGAAATTAGAGAGTCACGGAATAGCTGAGATAAGTTGTCTACCCACCCCAGGCTGACTGGGAAAATACACAGGTGAGTGCAGAGACCTCAGAGAGCTTATTGAAAAGCAAAAGCCAAGGGAGACCGTGTTATGGTCTGCAACTTTGCACCCTCTAACTACCGCCCCCCCCAACCCAACGCAGATATGGAAGCCTAACTAACAGCCTTGAGGAATTTGAGTACAACTTTTGTCAAATTCATTGGTGGACAAACAAAGGGGCTTTGCCAATGCAGGGGCAATTCCTTGGAAACTAAAGACATAATAATTATAATAAAAAGTTGAGCAGAAAAATCAATATCCACATACTGAAGAGGAAACAGATTTTATAATTTAGATATGGGTAGTTACCAAAATTAAAAAAAAAAAGAAAAAACCCCACTGATCTATAATTGTCACATTATTATTATTATTTTTATGTCTAGTTTTCAACAACAACAACAAAAAAGGTTATACATGAAGAAAAGAGGAAAGTGTGATCCATACTCAGGAAAAAAAGCAGTTAGTTGAAACTGATTCTGATTGGGTCCTACATTGGATTTAACAGACATTAAAGCAGCTCTTATAAGTATGTTCATGGGATTAAAACAAAAGATGATGAAAATGACTCAATAAATAGGGGATCCTAGTGGAGAAGTAGAAAACTATCAAATGAACCAAATAATTATTCTAGAGTTGAAAAGTCAGTAACAAAAAATGATGAAAAATTTACTAGGGATTGTCAACAGCCAATTTGAGATGGCAGAAGAAAGAATCAGTGTATTTGAATAT